TTAGAGAAGATAGCCTGACTGACATAGAACAACTTCAATTATAATCATCCAAAAATTTTATGCTAGACCACAAAGCGTCTCCTTACCCCTAAAATTTTCAAAATGACCCCCAAGTTGAAATCCCCTGTCTTAGGTTTTTAGAGAATATAGCCTGACTGACATAGAACAACTTCAATTATAATCGTCCAAAAATTTTATGCTAGACCACAAAGCGTCTCCTTACCCCTAAAATTTCAAAATGACCCCCTCCCCCAGGTTTAAAACCCCAGGTATAAAAGCTCTAGTAGACTTACTTCATTAAATCAGTAAAGGCCCAACCATCAACCCAATTTTCTACAAACTGAGCACCTTGTCTCTGGGTAACGAATTGGCCTAAACGAAGTCTGTTTTCCATACACTTTTGTCGAGTCGTCTTTTTCACTAGTTCACTCTGTTGAAGAAAAAACAAAATCCATAACAAATCAACTAAACAATTCTTTAATTTCATCTCAGAAAAGAAATGTCCTTTTTTAAAATGAAATGAAATGAATGGAGTTTTACGTCCTACTTTTCTGCACCATGTGGGTGAAGACGGGCAACGCCATGCAGTGTGCAATGAGGAAAATTTTACCAGGACAGTGGCATTAGCCTGCTCTTTTTCAATCTCCAACTGTCGAGGGATCTTTAACGTGTACAGCCTGTAGCACACGGGACCTCGGTTTATTGTCCCATCTGAACAACTAGACACTTTTTCCATGTCAGCCTCTCTTACCTACATCACTGACAACATAGATCAAGGAAATGACATCATGTTGAGATTCCAACATCCTAACCAACTGAGCTACAACCTGTTCACAACTAGAACACATGCAAATTGACAAACTGGTCTAGTTTTAAACTGTCTGAATTTAAGATTTTTAAAAACGTACCTTTCATGTCCTCAGTCAGTTACAACAAATGCAAATTGACATAAAAATTCTGAAAAGTTGAAAACGTACCTTTTCTATAAGTAAAGATTTATTAACTTCTAAACATTTCTGTAAATTTTCTTTATGCTTTTCTAATAATTTCTGTTGAGCTGTTAACTGTCTTCTAATTTCATCATTTTGCTGAAAAAAACAACCCAAAAAACATAAGAGATAAGAATTATTCATGGGTGATCTCAAAATTTGGATAATACAAGGTCACTTTAGACTGACACTTGCTCTCGTTGATGTAGACGATTTGTGTGATCCTGTAAAACCCATTTCACCATAAAAATTTCAAATTGTGGGGTAGAAAACCCAAAGTAGAACACTTAGGTTTCGCTATCCCACAATTGGTAATTGTTATCAAAAAATGGGTCCGAAATTCGAGCGGGACTGCTGTAGAAAACTTGTGACATGTTCCGCTTTCATACGTTCAATTGAGGAAATGAAATGAAATGAATGGAGTTTAACGTCCTACTTTTCTGCACCATGTGGGCTAATGAAGACCGTAACACCATGCAGTGTACAATGAGGAAAGACACTGGCATTAGCCTGTTCTTTTTCAATTTCTAACTGTCGAGGGATTTTTAACGTGTACAGCCTGTAGTACACGGGGCCTCGGTTTATTGTCCCATCTGAACAACTAGACACTTTTTCTATGTCAGGCCCACTTACCTACATCACTGACAGGGGGAAGGCTAGAATTGGAAAAGACGGAAGCTATGCAGAACTAACCAATCGAGTGCCATGTATACTTACCCTTACTAGATCATCAATTCGACTGTCTTTCTGTTCTATATCTGATACAGATCGTGATTCTAAAGCTTTCATCTGATTCCCTGTCATATCAGTCTAAAATATAACAAATACACAAAATATATTCATCCAAATCAAAACTTTCCTGGCAAAATAACACACACAAACGTAATTCACAACCATTTTGAATCTCTTCCTCGACTACATAAGTAGAATTTTGTCAGGACAGCAGCATTAGCATTTCCAACTGTCAAGGGATCTTTAACGTGCACAGTCTGTAGTACACAGGATCTTGTCAGCCCCTCTTACCTACATCACTGTCAGGATATAACCCTGGACCTTCAGGTTAGCGAGCAAGCGTCTAACTCACTGACAGGGGAAAACTGGGTTGAAAAATCTGAAGTTATTATCTCAACCTATGCTAGGATTGAACCCTGGACCTTCAGGTTAGCGAGCAAGCGTCACTGACAGGGAGAAACTGGGTTGAAAAATCTGAAGGTATTAACTTGACCTATGCTAGGATTGAACCCTGGACCTTCAGGTTAGCTAGCAAGCATCTAACATCACTGACAGGGGGAAACTGGGTTGAAAAATCTGAAGGTATTATCTCAACCTATGTCAGGATTGAACCCTGGACCTTCAGGTTAGCGAACAAGCGTCTAACATCACTGACAGGGGGAAACTGGGTTGAAAAATCTGAAGGTATTATCTTGACCTATGCTAGGATTGAACCCTGGACCTTCAGATTAGCAAGCAAGCGTCTAACTCACTGACAGGGGGAAACTGGGTTGAAAAATCTGAAGGTATTATGTCGACCTAAGCCAGGATTGAACACTGGACCTTCAGATTAGTGAGCTTTTTCTTTTCTTTTGTTTTTATCAGGAACACTAATTCAATTTCCCATTTAACAAACAATACGTTTAAGCTCTAGTCATGATAAAAAGCTGCCATGTTGGATTATGAAAACTTCGCTGTTCTTACCTGAACTCCTTTCGAAGAGCAATATATAGGTCTCGCAGGAAACGATAAAACTTCAGAATGAGAGGAATGGGAACTATTCTGTGGAGACGCAGCCAGATAACCCTGTAAAATAAACATCATACAATACCAAGAATCATTAGGTCAGGGGCAATAAATCTTATTCTCGCGTCGGCCATAATCGAGGCTTATAACCCTGTAAAATAAACATCATACAATACCAAGAATCATTAGGTCAGGGGCAATAAATCTTATTCTCGAGTCAGCCATAATCGAGGCTTATAATGCAAACAAACAAATGTAATGTGACGGCTTTTTTATTGGTCAAAATGATTGACCTACACGTGACCTGATATGTAAATAATATCATACAATACCAAGAATCATTTAGGTCAGGGGGCAATAAATCTTATTCTCGAGTCAGCTGTAATCGAGTCTCATAATGCAAACAAACAAAGGTAACGTGACGGCTTTTTTATTGGTCAAAATGATTGACCTACACGTGACCTGATATGTAAATAATATCATACAATACCAAGAATCATTTAGGTCAGGGGGCAATAAATCTTATTCTCGAGTCAGCTGTAATCGAGTCTCATAATGCAAACAAACAAAGGTAACGTGACGGCTTTTTTATTGGTCAAAATGATTGACCTACACGTGACCTGATATGTAAATAATATCATACAATACCAAGAATCATTTAGGTCAGGGGGCAATAAATCTTATTCTCGAGTCAGCTGTAATCGAGTCTCATAATGCAAACAAACAAAGGTAACGTGACGGCTTTAAAACGAGCCGTCATTTTTATTAGTATGAATATACAAAACAAAAAACCTAACGAAGATATTGTTGGTCAAAATGATCGACCTACACGTGATCTGATATGTAAATTTGGAGATTCAAAAAGACCCGCAATAGAATCTTATTCACACTTCGGCCATATTGAATCCAGAACGAGGCTCTTAACGCAAACAAACAAAAGTAACGTGATGTCACTGCAGTAAAATGGCCACCTTGACGTCTTTATCGCCTTCTCCTCCAATCCCACTAACTCGAAACTAATCATATTTGACATCATTAAAATCAGAATTAATTAAACTATTTAATGATACTTTCAGATGAATTTTATCTCCACACATTTCTGAGAAAGGGCAGTTTTTCTGTTTCTCAAAAACGAGACATGAATTAGGTTTATAGGATTGTCAAGGGAGGCTCAGTTACGCAAACTGGTGTTTATTTTTCTATAACCAGTAGTTTATCACGTGACACTATGACATCATCAAAACACAACAATGACGTAATCTAAGATTTGTGGTAAATTTAAATAACTGATCATATAAAACAGTGAAAATTGTATTAATAAAAGTATCTGAATATAAATATAAGAATTAAACGTTGGTCTCACTAACATTATTGGTGTGTAAACGCAATTGACTTTGTCATTTATTCAGTTTGTCACGTGATCAATTGTGTTTATACACCAATAATACTAGTGAGATCAACGTTTAATTATTAATTATGATATCAAGTCAGGTAAGCTCCCTTTTTTGTTGAAAAAAATTGGGTACAATTGGACTAGGAATTTTAACACAATGCTCAATATTTTTGGAGCTGATACATGCCCTTCCTTTTTAAGTCAAATCTGTTTTTTCATGAAATAATTTAGTACGAGTCATAAAAATGAAAATACTTACATGAGACAAGGCCTGAGGAGACGGAGATTTCGCTCCAGATGCAGGTATAATAGTTCGACTAGGAGATTGGTTGGTTTGCTGTGAATATAGAAACAGAGTGTCTTAATTACATCTTAATTTCTAAAGGTGTGGGCACACGAGCGCTCTTGGTCAGAGACTAGAGTCTTGTCAAGAGTTTCACCGACTGGCACGGGCACACGAGGAAACAAAAATCTCTAGTCGGTCGTTTCCACTATGTCGATAATCACGTGAAGATCATGTAATTGAAAGGAAAATGAATCTGATTGGATGATGACGGTTTGTCTTACAGATGATAAAACTATCAGAGACAATTATCAAACTTATTTGATATTATAAATCCTGTCGGCAAACGCCATAATCTTGTCGTGAAAACACTGGCACACGTGAGATTCTACTCAAGATTCGAGTCGGTGATAAAAATCTTCTAATGTACCGGTACTGAGAATTTTGATGCTAGAATTTCTCAAAACTTTGTACAGCTCTCGAGGGCAGCTACCAAGCCATCCCTCGACACTTGGAAATCAATAAAGAGTAGGCTTATGCCACTGTCCTGAATAAGCGCTTAGTTTTAGTGGAATTGCAGGAACCACAGACATCTGATTGAAAATTGGAATGGTGTAAATTGATTCTATCATGTCATCCAAAGATTAGAAAACCTCTTTACAATCTCTTTAACAAGAACCACAGACATCTGATTGAAAATTGGAATGGTGCAAATTGATTCTATCATGTCATCCATTACAATCCTTTTAACTATAACTGAACCCTGTATTTAGCCGAGATGAAAGCTAATATAATAATCTATTTACCTTAAAATATTCATTAATTTTTTTCCCATTGGTTTCAGCCCGTCCAGTTTTACTGGCACTTCCTTCAAAAAAAAAAAACAACAGGATATCACAAATATTGCTATAAGCACCAGTTTCTTCTTGTAGGTGGCATCAAGTCAAATTTGTTAGACTTCAGAGAATATGATGTGGGGCTGCTGGGTAAAATGATCGAAATAATTGCTAGGAATTTATAATTTTACATGAGGAAGTATATCAATTATAAATGAGTAAGTATTTCATAATGAAAAGTGGTATCAGGTGTCTAGAAGAGTAAGCATACCCTGTCTGGTACAAAACTGCTCATATGAGAAAGTAGAAACATTATATGTGAGTAAGTATTAATGAAAAGTGGTATCAGGTGTCTAGAAGAGTAAGTATTCCCGGCCTGGCACAAAACTGTTCACATGAGGAAGTATATCAATTATAAGTGAGTAAGTATTTCATAATGAAAAGTGGTATCAGGTGTCTAGAAGAGTAAGCATACCCTGCCTGGCACAAAACTGCTCATATGAGAAAGTATATTAATTATATGTGAGTAAGTATTTCATAATGAAAAGTGGTATCAGGTGTCTAGAAGAGTAAGCATACCCTGACTGGCACAAAACTGCTCACATGAGGAAGTATATCAATTATAAATGAGTAAGTATTTCATAATGAAAAGTGGTATCAGGTGTCTAGAAGAGTAAGTATTCTCGGCCTGGCACAAAACTGTTCACATGAGGAAGTATATCAATTATAAATGAGTAAGTATTTCATAATGAAAAGTGGTATCAGGTGTCTAGAAGAGTAAGCATACCCTGCCTGGCACAAAACTGTTCACATGAGGAAGTATATCAATTATAAATGAGTAAGTATTTCATAATGAAAAGTGGTATCAGGTGTCTAGAAGAGTAAGTATTCTCGGCCTGGCACAAAACTGTTCGCATGAGGAAGTATATCAATTATAAGTGAGTAAGTATTTCATAGTGAAAAGTGGTATCAGGTGTCTAGAAGAGTAAGCATACCCTGACTGGCACAAAACTGTTCACATGAGGAAGTATATCAATTATAAGTGAGTAAGTATTTCATAATGAAAAGTGGTATCAGGTGTCTAGAAGAGTAAGCATACCCTGCCTGGTACAAAACTGCTCACATGAGGAAGTATATCAATTATAAATGAGTAAGTATTTCATAATGAAAAGTGGTATCAGGTGTCTAGAAGAGTAAGCATACCCTGCCTGGCACAAAACTGCTCATATGAGAAAGTATATCAATTATAAATGAGTAAGTATTTCATAATGAAAAGTGGTATCAGGTGTCTAGAAGAGTAAGCATACCATGTTTGGCACCACAGCCACTATGTAAACACCCTGCTATGTAAATGAATGAGGTTAAAGTTCATGTATCGAGTAACCTACCGAACTCTCCAGCATCTTGAGCATTCTTTCGTTTACGTTTTCTCTCCGTTGGTGTACGGCATTTATCAGGTGTACCTAGTTGACCTTCAGAAACAGCGTCTTCTCGATCGACAGATCCAGCACTTAGATTACTGCTATTATCATACATGGGTTGAGACGTACTGGAATTATTTAACGGCTGAAACTGAAAGTAGTAAAAATTAATCTAAATGAAAAACAGGCCATGCAAAGAAGTATGCAAGGAGTAAATTTAACCAGTAGTAGTGTTCGCCTACAGTATTTCAACGACCTCCATAATTTGACAGACGGAAACTAGTTTTAACAAATTTGAAGACATCACAATCTAATTTAGGAAGCTGGGTCGTGTTTTGATCAATTTTTGTGTAGTAACAGGCCATGCCAAGAAGTGTGCAATGAGGAAAATTTAACCAATACAGAAGTGTTCGCCTACAGTATTTCGATGACCTCCATAATTTGACAGACGGAAACTAGTTTTAACAAATTTGAAGACATCACAATCTAATTTAGGAAGCTGGGTCGTGTTTTGATCAATTTTTGTGTAGTAACAGGCCATGCCAAGAAGTGTGCAATGAGGAAAATTTAACCAATACAGAAGTGTTCGCCTACAGTATTTCGATGACCTCCGTAATTGACAGACGGAAACTAGTGTTAACAAATTTGAAGACATCACAATCTAATTTAGGAAGCTGGGTCGTGTTTTGATCAATTTTTGTGTAGTAACGTAATCTTATATTTCTTAATCTAAAATATAATTTGTTTTTGTAAGATTATTTTTTGGAAATACCACGCAGCTGCATCTTCACAATGTTGGTTTGGAATAAAAATTGCAAAAGTCAATCTCATAGGAAATTATCATTATATTTACACTAGCAAATCCATCTTTATTACATTCACCAGGCAGTGAAGAAGAGTCAGATACAACTCCACAAATCTTGAGATTAGACGAGTGTGGGCAGTGTGGAATGAGGGAAACTTTGCCAGGACAGCAAGATTAGCCAAATGTACAGAGATCTTTGACAGCCCTCGGGTTTATTGTCCCATCTGAACGGCTAGACACTTTTTTCATGTCAATCAAGCATTTTCATCGCTGATCCACCCAAACTACAGCTGAGTTTCCTAATTAAATACTATAGGAACCACAGACATCTGATTGAAAATTTGAATGAATTTACATAAAAAATTTAGAAAACTTCTTTACAATCCCTTTAAGGACCGAACAGAATCCCAAGCTGTAGTAATCAGTATTAATTTATTGATATAACACCTATCCTACTAACAGTTCCTTTCATGTCAATCACTCGGACCTGCATCACTGACAGGGGGAAACCGAGTCCAAAAATTCATAGGGACTAGACTTGCTAGGCGATCTATACTGCATTGTAATTAAATATAACTTAGGCACAGATTTTAATAGCTTGACATTGTGAAGATGAGAAAATGTATATAGCTAGTCGACAGGGGTGCCTAAAAATGCCTAATGAAGTCAAGGTATTAGATAAATATATTTTAAAACAGTAAATACACCTACCCTACTTCCAGTACCTAGAAACCTGGCCTCTAATAATTCTTGTTTACGTGGATCTAAACTATGTAAACTCGTGTTGTCCATCTCTGTTACACCAGAGCCTGAAAAAATCAAATACCAGCAGGTTAGTCATGGAAGACAAAATGGCTGCCTTGATCCTTTTGCATTAGTGGTGTAGTTTGAATAATTATTTGCCAACAAAAGCCCGAATTATTCCTTAACCTCTCGGCAATTATTTAAGAATAGATTGTTGGTCTCGATAGTCTTATTGGTGTGGAAACGCAATCGACTTCGTCATTTATGTATGTTTGTGGTGTGATTGTGTTCACAAACCAATAATGCTATCAAGACCAACGTTGAATTCTTAAATATCCACCAATATTGTTTCAAAATTTTTAGAAATAAGTCAATTTCGAAATGATATAGAACAAGCTTCTGTGCCCTTCAGCTTCAGAGCCAATTATCAAAAGTACAGTGTGCAATGAGGGAAATTTTCCAAATACATGCGCTCATATAGGCCTATGCCATCACCTTCAACCAGCGTCATAAACTCAGGTGAAAATCAATGCAGTCATTAAACCCTATCGGACATTAGCAAGCAAGAGTCTAGCTCACAGACTCCAAAGTCAATTTTCAAGCCATCGGTAAAACAAAGCAACAATGGCCACATTTGAAGCTTTTACATTTTAGTATGCAAATTGCTAAGTTACCACCTGGACCATATACTTCCATGCTACACACATTTAGAAAGCTTTGGGTACGATTGCAGAATGAAATTCTCGTGAGAGCAACGCCGTGAAATTTTCTGAGTGCAAAATCATAATGGATTTGTGTTCTTCGAAATGGCATAGAGACATAAAACATGCATTTCATAAACTAGAAAAATTTTACTTTGGAAATGACACTAATGAAATTTATAAATCGTATGTTTGCAAATCTTTTAAATCTAACAGAAGTAAAGTAAGCCTACTGATAAAAATAACTAATGAATTTGCATTTGAAAAATTCACAAATAAGCCAAATATTAGCAGACACATCTGCAGGCAGCCTGGTCTAACCAACCCAGGTCCAAATTTATACATTTTCATGATCAGACAAAATTCGAGGTTTGACATTTCCATTTTGGGTATTAATTTCATGACGATGTGAAAAGCATGATTGTGAACGATTCGCCATTTGTAATCAAAATTGATAAAAGAAAAGGGTTCGATTCGATTTGTAGCTATGAAAGTCGAGCTAATGTGAACAATTTTCCATTTTTACCTTGCCCTGTAGTTTGGTTTCTTACTGGAGACCGATTTACAGTCCAAGATGGCGGGTATCTACCGCCACTGTACATCCCTTAAAAGGTCTTCAAATTGAGG